GTAAATCCTCTTACACAGAACTTTTATTCAATTAGAGCCTATGATCTGATGACCTGTAACAATCTTTTTTTTTTTTTTTTTTTAAGATTTATTGTATTTTTATTGCGAAGTCAGATATACATATACAGACAGGAGAAGAGCTAGAGAGGATCTTCTGTCCACTGATTCACTCCCCAAGTGGCTGCAATGGCCAGAGCTGAGCTGAGCTGAAGCCAGGAGCCTAGAGTCTCTTCCAGGTCTCCCGTGCAGGTACAGGGTCCCAAAGCTTTGGGCTGTCCTCAATTACTTTTCCAGGCTACAAGTAGGGAGCTGGATGGGAAGTGGAGCTGCTGGGATTAGAACTGGTGCCTATATAGGATCCCAGCACTTGCAAGGTTAATACTTCAGCTGCTAGGATACCATGCCAGGCCCGATCTGCAACAATCTTAAGATGCTCTCTGAATATATTTTCCTTTAATGAAGTAACTGTAATTATGTATACAATCAAAGGTAAATTATCATATCTATGAACACATTATATACAGAACACTTTTAAAAACATTTCTGATTTAAAAATGTCTAAATATATTTCCACAGTAATTTCATCATTCATGATTTAAAAATACTTAGAAAACTGAGTCATTTTTTGAAATTAAGACAACTATGTCTTCAGATCGATGTAATAATATCACTAACACAAAGAAGTATCATTTGCCAATTTAGAATGACCTTCAAGAGAAAAGCTACCTCCACTGGAATAGTTGACACTACTGTCTTCAACGATAACACCACCATTCATGAATCATTGATTTTAAAGTTTTTATCATTCATTTGAGACAGCAAACGTGCAAATGTGCATTCCCATTTGTCCTTTCATCCATGAAATGCCTGCAATGGCACAGTGGAGGTCAGGAGCTGGGAAGGCATTCCAAATCTCCCATGTGGGTGACAGAAACCCAACCACTGGAGTCATCACCACTGCCTCTAGGAGTCTGCATTAGCAGGAAGCTGGAGTCAGGAACTGAGGTTGGATGCTGGAGTCAGGCACTCAAATGGTACAGGGCATCTTAGCCAGAATGCTCACTGCTAGGCTGTGGTCAGGAAGTAGAACTTTAAGTAATGATGTCTGTTGGAAATCCTTGGGTCCATATGGGCCTGTGTTCAGAAGGAACAATGGGATTCTACTCTATGACTTCCTGTTACATAATATGATCTTTTGATCTTGTACACGTGGCTGTTACAGGTGTTAGGTGCTTACCAAAACTGAATCAACGGAATTCAGTTTCAATTCTGAATCAAGTCCACTTAATGTTGGACTTTCAGTTGCCAAAACTGTAAGCTGAACAAACACTTCCCTTTGTAAAGTTAGACTGCTTCAGTGTTTCTTTAGGTAATAAGAATGACAATAACAACAAAGACTAATGATTCTACTTGGAAAAAATTCATGGAAAAATAAAAATTAAAATTATGTATTTATTTTGGTATGAAGTAGTTATTTTCTGAAATTCATACACAGTTTTTTCTAATATGTATTTTTTATACATCATAAAAAAACTGGGGCCAAAATAAACTCATATTTTTTAATCCCATTTTTCCATGAAGCTTTTGAAGCAAGCTTATCTACCCAAATTACCATGTTCCACACACAATGTTTATTTTCTTGAACCTCAGAAGAAAGGATATTTTGCGCAGGTCAGTTTGGTTCAGTGAACTAGCACAAAAAAGAGAAATCACAAGAAAATACAAAATTTTTTCTTAAGGATTATATATAAAAAATATAAATTGCTTTTATCAGTGTAATAGTTGGTTTTGCATCACTACAACAAAAATTAGAGACAACTAATTTTATCAAAGGATGTACAAGCCCAAGCTCACTTATCTCTATTTAGTCTGGCCTTCAGTGAGGGCAGTAAATGGCAATGGTGGAGTGCATGCACTGGAAATACCACGTAAGGCAGGAGTCAAACCAAAATTTCAGTTTTGTCTGTCTTTAACAACAACAACAACAACAAAAGATTTGTTATGCACAGCCTATAGAGAAAGAGAGGGAGAGACAGGTCTTTCATCTGCTGGTTCACTCTCCAAATAGCCTCAAGGGCCAGGCCACACAGAAGCCAAAAGCCTGGGGCCAGGACTTTCCTCTGGGTCGCCCATGCGGGTAGGAGAGCACAAGTACACTGGTCATTCTCTGTTGCGCTCCCAGGAACACTAGGCAGGGAGCTGGATCAGAAGTATAACAGCTGGAACTTGAATCAGCACCAGCAAAGGATGCCAGTGTTGTAGGCAGCGAATTTTACCTGTTACGCAACAATGCAGGCCCCATAACTCAGGTTCCTCTACTATACGCAAAAGAATTGTCTTCCAAGGGTAGTGACTACAATGACTGAAGGACCTCCCACAAGGTCCCAGTTCTTAAAGATTCCACTCCCAAAAATGCCAACTGGGGGACCTATCTTTGAACATGTGGGCTTTTGAGGGATACCAAATATCAAAAACATAGCACTTAGTCTTGGTAAATAAGTTTAATTATCTGGTATCAGAATAGGTGGTTTAGCTGATGCCAGCAATCTGGCACTTCAGATATATAAACATAAAAAGTAAAATAAAGAATCCTATTCATGTAGCTGATGATTACTACTTAAAATCATTCAAGGTCAGGCAGGCATATAAAGGAAATGATGAGGTAGGTATTCAGCTCTTCCTACTGAACAAAGATGTATAGCACATTTATATCACTCCTTTTATATTTCTTTCGAAGGCATTTATATTATCCCTGCATTGGTAGTCTATGACAAAGATCTGGCAATTGTCCAGAATGATAAAGAAGTATTAGAGATGGTGGGATAGATTTGTCACCAAATTGTTAGAAGACTGGGAGAGTATATTTGCCCATTAGTTAATGATTTAGAGAAGATGAGATGAGACAATTAACCAGAGTGATTTCACTATTCCTAAAGATTCTCAGAGGTGTTTTCTCAGTAACCTAGGGAGGGAAGTCACACTATATTCATCAAATGTGCACCATGGTATAAAACATGAGTAATATTTAAAGGAACCAATTAGATAAACTACAGTACATGTCAAGAAAGGAACCAAATTTGGAAGAAAAAAAACCAGAAAATTAAAAAGAAGATTACTGGAGCAGGCTTTCAGCCTAGGAGCTGGGGTTCCTATGTCCCACATTAGAGTGCCAGGGTTGGATTCCTGGCCATGGCTTTGGACTCCAACTTTTTGACATTGGAAACTCTGGGAACAAGCAGTGATTCCTGTCACTCTTGAGGGAGATCCAGAGTTTTCTTTCCCAAGGGACCCCAAATCTTTCAAGAGAATGTGAGGTGAGGTGGAGTTCAAAGTATAACATGTATATACAATGAATTCAGAAATCTAGGGAAAAGAAACCTATGGTAGAAAACACATTTTTTTGTTTTCCATAAACGACATGATAAAAAAATATATAACGCTGAGAGTATTTCCATTAAGAAAGAAAAGCAGTCGAGATTTGTTGTTTAAGATTCCTTCTTGGGCCTGGTGCAATGGGCCCAGGGGCTAAATCTTCGCTTTGCACGCACTGGCATCCCAAATGGGTGCCAGTAAGTTTCCCAGTTGCTCCACTTCTCATCCAGCTCCCTGATTGTGACCTGGGAAAGCAATCGAGGACAGCCCAAGGCCTTGGGACCCTGCATCCACGTGGGAGATCCAGAAGAAGCTCCTTGCTCCTGGCTTTGGATCGGCTCAGCTCTGTCCATGAGGCCATTTGGGGGTTGAACCAACAGAAGGGAGATCTTTTTCCCCTTCTCTGTGTAAGTCTGCCTTTCCTTTCCAAAAAAATAAATCTTTAAAAATTCTTCTTAGCTCTAAGTCTTATCATCTTTTGTGTAGATATTCTGAAAGAACTCATCTGTCAGCAGTAACAGTAGAAATATAATAGTGGTGGTGGTAGTGGTAGTAATTGTAAGTACTACCATAAAAACAGGCACTTATCATGTGTTAATTATTTTACTATCTCATGTTAGTGTTATGGTTGTTGTCATCACTCCAATTTTAGAGATGAGTAAACTAAGGCAAGTGAGGCAATGTAATTTGCTCAAGTTAACATAATTAGAAGCAGGCAGAGCTGGGATTAAAAGTCTGCCTTGCTTTCACAACTTGAATCCTAAAGCTTCTAAGGCCAGGGGTGGGGAACTTTTCTTCTGCCAAGGGCCATTTGGGCATTTATAACATCATGCACGGACCACACAAAATTATCAACTTACAAAGTAACCTGCTATAGATTTACTGAATTTTGAATCCCAACAACAGTTGCTCTGGCAGGGCCAGACCAAATGTTTTCACCGGCCTTCTAAGGCCCGCAATCCTGAACTTCCCCAACACTGCTCAAAGCTACACCAGAAAAATCAAATCATGGAAGAATCAGATCCAGCTTGAATTGGATTTAGTAGTTTTGTTAATTAGGAAAGAGGAAAAAAGCTTCAGAGGCTACTGAAGATCAACATTTTGTAATGAAATATGTGGATACACAAAGTGGCATTTAAAATTTTGAGATCACTCAGAGTAGTCCAAACTTTTTTCCATTAACGCAAGAGAAAAGTCCAATCACATTAAAAACTTTCTTACTCAAATGGTTTCTTAGAACCTGGCTCTCTTCATAATTCTTCTTTCCAGTACAAGTTATTCAACAGTTAGGTGATCACATGAATTTTTATCTATTTCCAAAGTGTAAACCTGAAAACTGGAACTGTGCTATAGAGTATTTCTTGAAAAATGTTGAGATGAGATATACAAATGTTTTAGACATATATCATGGTAATTTAAAATATTCTAACCAATGCAATTTTTGCATTTATTTTTATAGCATGGTATAAGTGTGATTATTTTAGAATTCAAATTTAAAAACTTACTTTTACAATTTCACATTACTGATAGCAAGATGCTCAGTATAACTAGCTACTTAATGCTAATTTGTTTCTTAATCAAATTAAATGAGAAAATATTTAAAGAAATGGGGAGAGAAATAATTTTACCTTACTAAATTTTGCTGCATATTTTCAACCTTCATTAAAACTTGTACCCCATTCTGAGAGTGAATATAGGCTTTCAATCTGAAATAAAAACATCATATTGAAGGAAGTGAAATTGGGTTTTAGCATATTTCAGGATTCTCTTGTGAAGAGTAAGCATTTCTCAACACCTAATAATTCTTCAGATGCATCTGTCCTAGCACACAAAACATTTTAGAAAGGATATTAAAACCACACTTTCCCTCTACACAATTAAACATCTTAAAGTAAAACACACCCGTTACAGACAATTAAACTAAAAAATGTACCCAATGACAAATGTACAAATAAGAATAATTAAGTTATTAGTGGTAAGAAAGGAAAACCAACTATCTCAACTGTCCCAAAGATATTGGTTGATTTATGACATGTGTTTAGTTCAGTGTGGGCATCACCTTTTATCAAAAGAATGAAAATTAATTAGAATTGCATCAGCCATCTTAAAGCCATTCAGTTTAGATTTTGAAACACCAGGTTACTTTAGAATCAAGCCAAACATTCGCATCCTAAGCAGTTACCATCTGATTAAAATAAAGTCACCTTTATCCTGCCCATGCATGCTAATAACTTAGATTCTAATAATATTGTTTTCTTTTTGGAATACTGCCTACTGCATGCTAGGCCTTGTACAAGGATCTTCACATTCACTATTTCTTCTCAGCAACATAACACTCTTACCTAGCTCTTGTTTCACTGATGATAAAACCTAGGACCTCAAAGCTCAGTAACTTGCTTCTGATCACATAGCTAACAACGGACAAAGCCAACTGTTCTAATGCCGGTATCCATGACTGAATTTTTTTCACCATTCTATCTGAAGCACTTTCATTCATGCTGTATTTCTGGACATGAGGCAGAGTGTACCTTACTTAGTTCTAAAAACTCTTGGCTGACACAGAATTTCCTGTCTTTAACAGTTAGTTGGAAAGTTTTAATTTCCAGAGTTTTTGGTCCAACCCAAAAGGCAGCTTAACTTAGGGTTAAGAGTGCACACTGTCACAGAACTGCCTGATCTGAAGTCTAGGTTCCCTGCTTACTTGCTATATAACGTTACTTAACTACTTTATGGCTTAGTTTTCTCATCTGCAAAATGAACAGAGCAATCTACCCGAGTTGCATGTGAATTTTAACTAATAAATTTAATGTTATCTTCTTTGAAGAGCCTCTGAAACGGTAAGCAGCAAGTGCTAGCTGCTCTTGTTATTTATACTGGCTAATTTTCGGTAAATACCAAGGACATCTCACAGAAAGTAAACTACAATGATAGGCCAAATTTTCATCAAGTCATGGCTTTACTACAACATGCATCTAATAAACATTTCAAGTTTTTTAGTTACTTAAGAAAGTTACTTGAGTTTGAGCCATACCTTTGACGAATTACAGGATCAGATTTTTCAGGATCAATATAAGTTTTGAGGATATCATTAATAGTTTTATCATCTGGCACCCTATTAAACAAAGAAGAAAACTGTATTACAATCTATAATTTTCTACTGAAGATGTTAGAATTATCAGTGTGGTAGTTTGTGTTGATTTTGTACATTCTTTAAATAATCAAAGAATGACTTCTTATTTTACCATTGGTAAAAATTAAGAAAACATAAGAGACTTCTAGGGCACACTCACAAGGTCGTTTTTTATTTTTTTCTCCTCAACAATGTTTTCTTTATATTTTTGAGAAGCTTCTTATAGGTCAAACATAAAAATGAAGCCTCTTAACACACACCTGTGTTCAAACAGGAAAAGCAATCAGTATGAAATATACCTGAAACTTCAAAAAAAAAAAAAAAATTCAGCTAATGTTAATTTCAGTACATATCCATGTTTCTTTATTCTCAATCATAAGACCTCATAAAAAAAAACTGATATTAATTTTAAGTCTTCCAACTATCCTGTAAATGTTTATGTTCCTTCTACTGCATTCCCAGGCCACAAAAAAGGAAATGGAAGGCAAATGGAGCAGCTTGGACATCCCCTTATGGGATCCCTGCACATGCAAGGCAAGGATGTAGCCACCAAGCCATTGCGCTGGGTCCTGGCCACGTATTCCTGTAAAATGACTCCTTTTTCTATGTTTGCTCTGGTATATAACTTCAAATAACCAAGTTCTTCAACAGAATCTGTATGACAACTACACTGAAGACATTTACTTATAAGATGGATACTTGGTAGCCATACTTAGTTAAACATGAACTTTAAAATCACCCTGATAGTATGCAACCATTAAAATTTTTAAATGGTGCTTGAAAATATTTATGATGAAAAAAGCAGACAATCTCATGCAAATTCATTCAAAGTATAAGTATACGTATATGGTTCTAAGATAATGTGCTTTCTGAGAGCTATATGTAATGTTATTAGTAATTTCTGCACAGAAATGTTAGGGTCATTTCTCACTACACATCTAGTCAGTATCAGAGAGATGCTTTAGCCCCCTTAGTTCTCCTTGTACCCTTTCCTTAACTATCAGCATAATTTCTACTTCCATTACATCCCTTAGCCTTCCATGACATTACAGATATTCCTAAAAAATAAACTTGCATTTTCTGGAGGTTTTTACTTTTCCTGCTCATAAGCAGAACCATACTCTATTCTTGCTTTACTTGGTTGCCTCAATATCTACACAGCTGTAGTTGATTCATCGTATAGTAATGTTAATAATTCATTGAGTAAACGCTCCACAACTTATATTTTTGTTTTACTAATGACACACACACACACATATATATAGCTAACAACTTATTTTAAGAATAGAGTTCAAAAAGAATTCAGTTCTTAATAGAAGATGATATACTTTACCTTTTTTCTATATACTCAGCTTGACATTGAGGAAAGCAGAGCTTTACATGCCAACAAAACTGTTGTTTTCTAAAAGAAAATAATCATGTAAAGATCAAGGTAAGCAATGACAGTCTGTAAATCAAATTTGGTAAATTTTCACTTAAAAATTATTTAGAAAATATTCTGAGAACTGACAATCTCCTACTAACATCTGTTTTTTTCTAGAACTTTGGAAGCTATGTTTTTGAAAGACTATACTTGTAAAGGTTGTTAGGAAAGAAAAATAAATAAATAAAGCGAAGCAGTTCTGAATTCCAAGAATTTCACATTCCTGAGTTTGGAAGCGATTTCTCAGTTTCAGGAGCTTTTGAGATCAGTGTACTACTACTTGAAGTTTACAAATCAATTTCCTCATGACTAAACACAATGAGCTGATGTCTTTGCCCGACTAGTCTGGAAATGAGGTGAATGAAGTATTGTCCAGTTGAGTCCAGCTGGCTGCAGACACTTCTGAGGCATGAGTACGTGCATTCAGTAGCAAAACAGTAGACAACAAACTGGTTGCTAAGCAGAATGACTGACCCAGACTCCTTCTGCTTTCAGATCTAAACTCTGGTATGATATAAAAGTAATAGTTACAGTCCACTAAAAGTCTAACTTTAGAAAAATGACCATATGCCTATCTAAAACACTTAAATTTAGAGGTATTAGACATCATTTTTTTTCTGTTGAAATACTCAATTCACAACAGAAATTTAAATGTTTACCTCGTTAAAGTTTTATCAAAATTTTCCTTCCTCATAAGTTTCTTCTGAAGTCAGAATTGTGGCAAAGCATGTCAAATCACTGCCCATAATATTGATATATGAACACCAATTCAAGTCCAGGCTACTTCATTCACTTTCAGCATAGCTCCCTGTTAATGTGTCTTAGAAGAGAACAGAACAAGGCACAAGTGCTTGGGCCCCTGCACAGAGGGCCAGGATTCAGGTTTCACCCTGGGCCAGCCCTAACAGCAATTTGATTTGGGGAATGGAGTAGCAGATGAAAGATCTCTCCCTCTTTCTTTGTAACCCCACTTTTCAAACAAAGTAAAATAAAATGAATCTTTCAAGCAAAACTGTTTTAACAGCATCTCCACCAAACAATGACCAATGTCTCCTAGAGACATACTCTGTAGCAGTAAAATCTAAAATAATTAATGATTTTGAAGATACAAATTAAAAAGTCACTTTCTTTGAAATGGCATTACTGCTGTTATAAAATGTTCAAATTCATCAACAACCAAAGATAAGGAAGAAGTGAAATGCTTGTACTAGAGCAGATCGGCATGGAAAGTTTTACAATTAAGGTTGCTATGGAACTGTGGCAAGGTGGACACTTTACTGCCAATCAGGGTATAAACTGGTATAAACCTCTAGCAGTTCAACTTCTTAAAAGCTACAAGTTAGTTACAGTAGAAGAAGTACTAATTTTTGTCGCAACAGTTTTATCAGTTTTATTCCAAGGAATTTAACCCAAGGAAATAATGAGGCAAGCTGTAAGACAGGAACAAAATGTCCAGTGCATCACTTTTTACAACAGAAAAAAAAATTAGAAACAACTTAGCTGTACATAACCAGAAAATTCATTATAAATCATGGTACTTCTACATAATGAAATACTGAACACTCCTAAAAGATAAGGCAGAACTACATGCACCAATGTATAGAGTGGGTATTGGAAAATGGGTATTACATGATAGCATTTATATTTAAAACACAGATTTATACATGTGCTTTAAAACTATGATGAAGATGCCTTAAATTTTAACAATGGTTATTTCTTGACATTATGAAAGAATTGTTTTCTTAACATGTTCGAATAAAGTTCATCTTTCACACAATTATTTATCTTTAAAAATCAGCAAAGTCAAAGATGTTGCCATGGAAAGTACTGGATGACAGTGATAGAGAGAATTTTAACCCTTTATAAAATTACAAATATTTCCTTACTAGGAATATTTGTGATATCTCCTTTTTTTAAACTTTAGAAACTATTGAAGAAACAGAACTGGGGTTCTAATCATTTTGATAGCCTTAGAGTTGTAATTCTAAGAAATATGGCACAAATTAAAAGTTTAAAAATTTCTAATACAAAATTTTAAGGGGGCTTGAATATGCTTGTATTTAGAAAAAACAATTCTCATTCTACTGCATCACTGACTAACCAATATTTATTCACATATCCCTGAAGGTTTGCCAGGTATTAAGATAAACGAAGAGAGAATGAGCCCAAGCTAAACTTTTTAGGGCAGTGAGTTCTTCATTTCTTTCTTCCTTTTTACAAATTTCATCTGATAGTATTATGTTCTTAACAACAACAACAAAAGTTTGTTTTTACTTGAATTCCACTGTTACAGAGAGAAGACAGAGAAAGAGATCTTCCATTAGTTGGTTCACAGCCCAAGCAGGCTGGATCATTTCCCACTGCAACATCATCCTTCCTAATCTATAACTGTACTCTGATGAATGGATATTATTCCACCCTCAAAAGGTGTGTGCTATTAGCTTAACAAGGTCAATACACATTTAAGGGACATAATGGCTCAGTATTGATGACCAAACGATGGTCTAATCATGGTGAATTTCAGCTTTCCTGTTCAATACTGCTGAGAAACACTTCTGAGTATTCACTATAATCCGAACTGTTATCAGTAAATCCCAAAACCATGAGGATTAAGCTTTCTAGAGGACACAATGCAGAGTCAGAAATATCTTTATTATACTATTTAAACAGAATAACTTATATAAACATATCAAGTCATTGTCTTGGGGGGCATTTCCTGCTGGCAGGCCCTGAGACCACCAAGGAGGTGAGGTAAATGTATTCTTCTGAAGGGCATGTCCGTTTATTGTAAAGCAAGCACAATTTATATAGGCAAGGAAAGGGGAAGGCAGAAGGGCTGCTCCCGACAATTCCCCAACCCAAAAATGACATTCCAATTGGCTAGAAGACATGTCATCTATCCCTTTATATCCTCTAGTCAGGTCACAGATCACATTCTGCATGCAGGCTGGAAGTTTTGCCTCAGATCATGGACAGGTAGGCCATAAGTTATGCCAACCAGGTAGCAGGCAGAGATCCAGGGGCGATCTCCCATACATTGTATCTATTAACTTATTAAGTTCAGTCTACCTCTGGACATTCACAGGCAGAATGTATGAGAGCCAAAATGCACTATTAAAATAGCTCAAAGTAACATAATATAGAGTATTCTATAGCACAAAGATGAAAACATACTAACTTATACAAAGGAATAAAGCTTTATTTATTAGAAACAGAAAAAGAGACTAAAATTGATAACTGTTACAACATTTGGAAGTGACAAATAATACCTAAAAGAATTTCAAGAGAAAAAAGATATTTAACTATCAGCTATAAACATAAATTTAAAACTGAAAGAAAATGTACATATCAACAGCAAAACAAAACAAGCAAAATGTACAGTAACTTGAAACTATCTAAGAGAAAAAAATTCAAATAAAATATTGACACAATCCTTCCCCCACAAGCACTTGATGTTTGAAATGTATCTAAAGATGAATATTCAAAGTCTAAACAAAACTACAGCACAGAATCTATTTATTAGGATTATTCCTCTGATAAAGTATTTTTGGAAACATGATATGAAGGATCATTTAGCTACGTAGTACAGATTAAAAGGACCAGCATTTAGGAAAATTAAAACCATAATTCTGTATAGCACCATTGTGAAAATTCTAGTTATGAAAAGTTCTAGTTATATAGTCTGCCTTTTGAAAAATTAGTACTATTACTATATAATCACAATGGAAAGCACGTTAACTACGTGGTATTGGCCTTAGTAGACAGTAGATTCAGAAAATGGATGTAGCAGGTAAAGACTGAAATTAAAAAATACAATTTTTGAAGGAATCATGACTGGTTATGATCTGTATTACTGTAACAATATGGAGGAATTCAATATGGGTGGAGGGTTAGGGGAGGGATTGGGGGAATCTCAGAGCCTATGAAACTGTGTCATAAAATGAAATTAAAGAGAAAAAATACAATTTTGCTTCAAGTAACTGATAAATACTCGAGCACTTAAAACAGTCCTCCGCTGGCAATGGGTCATAGGAGTGGAGGACTTTGAAGTAGGTGGATAATTCTGATTGTTCCAAGACAAGTGAACATTTGAGGCATTTAATAGGGAAAGCCAAAGAATGCTACCTAGTCTTCTAAAATGCAGGGGAAGTCCTACAGAATAACAAATCATCATCAATTTCAAATGCCAACAGAGTCCCTTCTAACAAACACTAGAATGTAGAAAAGAGAGTAGATATATGCATACCAAAAAATGAATACCAGCACTGGCCAGCATCTGTTTCATATTAATCATGGAGAAAATATGTAGTGCAGGAACTCATGCAAAGGAGACATGCAGAGAAGATGGGCTAGCATGTGCACCTTCATAGATGGCTAGGAAATACACCAGACAGCCTGGGTTGAGAAGAGTGACCAGTGTGGGTCCATGAGGTTGACTACATTAGGAATCAGGTAGGAACAGACCATAATAATTCATATTTGGATATGGATCAACTGAAAGAACTTTAAGATTCTCTGCTCAAAGTAAAACCCACCTTAACTCCAGCAAATTGAGACTTTCTTCAGGACATCTACTAAAACTCATTAACTCCCACTCCAGCTCTAGAAACAACAAATTATTTACGGTATTCTAAATTTGCTATGTGATATTCTTACCACCAGACAATCCTTTCCTTCTGCCTACATAGAAACCAAGACATAGGGCCCAGCATTGTACTGTGCCACAATGCATAAAGCCTGTCATGCTGTCATCCCATATGGTCACCAGTTTTCTTCCTGTTGCTTCGCTTCTTCTTCTTCAGCTCCCTGCTAATGGCCTGAGAAAAGCAGCAGAGGCTGGCCCAAGTGTTTTCCCTGCTGCTGATGTGGGAAACCAAGACGAGGCTCCTACCTTCATACTGGCTTACCCCTGACCTCAGGCCATCTGGGGAGTGAACCATTAGAGGATCTTCCTATCTGTCCCTCTCTCTGACTCAAAT